CCGCCCGGGCCCCCCCCCTGCCCCTGTTTCTGCTGGCTGCCCCTGCCAGCTGCTCTGTTGGCCACTTGCTCCTACCAGCTGCTGCTTCTGCAATGGGTCTGGCTCTTTGTCAGTTTGTCAGTGATTTCAGCTCTTGGCCACCACCTAGGCTGTCCAAAAGATTCCAGCCCCCACTGAAATAATATTTCAAAATAAAAAAGAGACTCACTGCAGGTATGGTGTAGAAGACCAATATCTATGTGAGTATTTTGTCTTTTGTGGTCTCTTGCTCCTACCAGCTGCTGCTTCTGCAATGGGTCTGGCTCTTTGTCAGTTTGTCAGTGATTTCAGCTCTTGGCCACCACCTAGGCTGTCCAAAAGATTCCAGCCCCCACTGAAATAATATTTCAAAATAAAAAAGAGACTCACTGCAGGTATGGTGTAGAAGACCAATATCTATGTGAGTATTTTGTCTTTTGTGGTCTAAAATTATAACTTCACTTTCTCAGATTGATAAAGATTTGTTTTCACTCACTGTACGTCTAAACTACTTTTTTTTCAAAAGAGGATATGCACATTTTGTGGGAATTTGAATTTCTCCTTCCAATCTTACTTTCAAAAGAGGATCTTTAAAAAATGAAAGTAGTCTAGATGCATTTTTGGGGAGAGAAAAAACCCTTTTTTGAAAAATCTGCGTAAACTTCAGTTTTCAAGGAAAAGTGGTCTTTCAAAACTAAAATGTAGTCTAGCCATAGCCCCAGGGACTAATGGGAAACCACCGTGTGTCAAAGATGCAGTATTTTCTGGTGGACTGGAAGTCACAGAGAGGAAAACTGCCAGGTGTTGGTCAGAGAGAGGGAACTCGGCAGTGGACAATGCAGCAATTGGGGACATAGCTATAAGTTGGTAGATGTGAGGAGATGCTGAGATCAATGCTGAGTTCAAACAAAGAGGGACAAAGCAATGTTGGTTAAAGAGGAGGCAGCTGTCTCCTTCTTGGGATGTGGTTTCAATTCCGAAGCCCAATGGGATCACATTCTGCAGAAGTTTTTCCTCATTTTAACACGAAGCTCTTTGGTTTTGACTCCATAAATAATGGGGTTGAGCATGGTGGGGACAAGGACATAGATGTTGGTCAAGAAGATTTGAACATGAGGAGCGATGCTCCCACCAAACCGATTTGTCATGATAGAGAAAAGGTAAGGAGTATAAGACATCAGCATCACACCGATGTGAGCGGTGCAGGTTTTGAGGGGTTTCAGGTGGGCTTTCTGGGAGGAGATTCTAAGAACAGCCCTGATGATCAGAGAGTAAGAAAGGGCAACGAGTGTCAGGTCTGACCCAATAATTGTAAGTGTCATCACCAAGCCATAGAGCCTGTAGAATGTGAGGTCCCCACATAAAATCTTTGCCACAGGAATAGCCTCACAAGTCATATGAGGGATGATGCGGTTGCCACAGAACGGCAGTTGGCTCAGCATGAGGGGCACAGGCACCACACAGAGAATCCCTCTTATTAAACTGACCAGTCCCAGCTTAGCTATCCGTGCGTGGGTGAGGATGGTGGTGTGTCTCAGAGGATTACAAATGGCCACGTAGCGATCGAAGCCCATTGACACCAGGACACCTGATTGCATTGCGAAACCCGTGCTAAGGAAGGTAATTTGGGTGAGGCAGCCACTCACTGTGATGTCTTTCAAATTGAACCAAAATATACTCAGGGCCTTTGGCACAACGCAGGTCGACATGGTGATGTCCGTGAGTGCCAGCATGCAGAACAGGAGGTACATTGGCTGGTGCAGAGTCTGCTCTTTGCATATCACAAACAGAACAGAGACATTTCCTAACAGGCAGAAAATGTAGCAAGTAGCAAAAGGGATGGAAATCCAGACGTGAGCGTGTTCCAGGCCAGGGATGCCTCTTAGGATGAATGTTGACGTGTCAGAGGGGCTGAGGTTGAAAGCTGCCATGAGGTGGTGGATGAGACAACAGGGTTGAGGAATTCACAGGGCGCCTGTGAAAACACAGAAGCACACTGAGCTGGGGTTATAGATAATCATCAACATCACAGGAAACATGATAGTTATTGTCAGTCTATAAAAGTGAGTACTGATACGGCAACTTTTGCAGAAGGCAACAGATGTTTTAGATTAATGTCAAATCTAGAGAAGTTCTCGGAGGAGCTAACCCCACCAGGTTTCTTGGCAGCAGAATGGCAGATCAACTTTCACGTTGAGAGGTTCAATACATCTGCTTAGTGGAGAAACTCCTCAAACACCAAACAAGGTTCTAACTGAACAGTACGAGCTCAGCACAGAGACCTGGGTACCTTCGACACATGGCTCTGGGAAACCCTGCTCACAGTGCAAACGTGGGCAACATTTGAGGAAAACATTAGGGCCCATAAACAGGAGAACAGTGAGGGGGGATTGTATGCTTTGGGTGTGTCTAGACGACATCCCTCTGTCTCCCGAGGGCTGTAAATTAGACATACTGAAATTGCTAAGGAAGCGGGGATTTAAATACCCTACGCTTCATTTGCATAAAAATGGCATAAAATGGCCACCACTTTTTGTCACCATGGAGCTTTGGTGAAAAAAAGCAGCAGTCTTTACACAGATGTAATGCTCAATAAAGCCTTTGCCAATAGACAGACCTTTATAACAAATAGGAGACATAATATTTTCCCCCCCGAAGGGAAGCACCGACACAGACGGGCACAGAGACCGACGCTTTGCTGTCCCTCGGCGAGGTTGGCAAGCAAGCAGGAAAAGCTGAGAACCGGCTGTCCAGGGGGGGTCCCTTTAAGCACGAGCCTCAGATAGCCTCAGACAGCAGCCACACAAAGCAACTGCTGACCTGATGCCCTGCCAGAACCGGTTTCAGCTGCCCTTAAATGCCCCCCTGCGTCCAATCAGTGTGGACGCGCTAGTTCGAACTAGCAAAACGCTAGTTCGAACTAGTTTTTAGTTCTAGATGCGCTAGTTCGAACTAGCTTAGTTCGAATTAACTAATTCGAACTAAGTTAGTTCGAACTAGCGCTGTAGTGTAGACGTACCCTCCGATACATTTCATTCCCAACTCCCATAATGGAACAATCGGCTGATGTATATTTTCATTCTTTCAGCATTTCACATTTGCAGCATGAGGTATCTGAGATTCCTTACACCCAAAGAACCCAAAGAAATGAACCCATCTTGCAAGGCATCTTGTTTGCAACCCAAGTCCCTGAACCAAGTTTCTGACTGGGTTTAAAAGTTTCCCTTTGGAAGTGATTGTAGAGATCTTCCAAGCAGGTAGTTAGAAGTTCAGTTACAGCTAATCTGACCTTTCACTGCACTGCACAGAAGGGGTAACCCTTCTGTCAGGTAGCGTCGGCAGCAGCCAGGGCCGGGTTCAATATCTAGGGGTTCATTTTCGTCCATCTCACATAGAACTGGCTTGAGCCCCCACCCAGCAGCCTCAGAAATTCACAAAGCCCAGGGCACCTCTGAGAGGCAATGTTTCCCCACTTGCAAGCACAGTCTGAGTATAAAAAAAACACTTTTAATGAAGAGGGAGAGAAGTAACATGGCATTAGCTTGGGAAAATACCACCAAGTTAGTCCCTAACCAAACCACAAGTAAACGCCCCAGCTCAAGTGGATTGAACAATGTCCTTTGCTTCTCAGGCTCACAAGTCCAGCAATGTAAGTGTCCCATTCACATTCTCAAACTTTTTCTGTACCCCATTCGCAGTTGCTGCCCTTGGTCAGGGCAGATCAGAGCTCAGAGGCGATTTTCAGAGCTCACCTCCCACTCTTGGGGGTGGGAGGTGG